ACTGACTGGACTCAGACCAGAACCCGAGCAGGGCCAGGCCCCCCACCCCTTCCCTTCTGAGGAACAAATCACGCTCATTCCTGCCTCAGGCCCTTTGCACTGCTGATCCCTCTGCCTGAATGCTCAACCGCAGCTGCTTGGGTCACCTGCTCCCCTGACCACCTGGCAGCAGCAGGCCCTGGTCACCCCCTGGGGCCACGGTGCCTGTTTCACTGCTCTGGCAGCTCCCCATGGGCTGGCATGGTCTGACTCAGGTCAGCAAGCGTTCTCCGTAGAGGACCAGCCAGTGAGTGTCTCCGACTTTGCAGGCCACGGGTCTCTGTCTCAACTCTCAGCTCTGCCGCTGTAGCTAGACAGCCCCGTGGACCACAGGCGAATGACAGGGCGTGGCGAAGCGTCAGGAAGACGTGACAGACAAAAACCGGCGGGCGGGATGGACCCGGGGCCCCAGTCTGCAACCGCTGGCCTCACCTGTTTACTAGCTCGCCATCGCATCCTGACCCTCACCAATCCGAAGGTGAGGGAGCCCAGGTGCCGGACCCCTGCCCCCCCAGCAGGTGCTCCATAATGTCCAACAGGCCCTGCCCAAGGGCAAAGCGAGAGGTGACCGCACATCCCCGTAAGCCGAGTCAGACGGCGGCCCCGCCCACCCAGGCTCTGGGGGAAGCGGTCCCTCGAGCTGGCACCCACGTGGGACCAGCCAGGGCAGCACCCTTCCAGGGCTCTACAAGCCAATCGACCTGATCCAGCTCCACGAGAAAGGCGCAGTCATCACGCCCATTTCACAGATGGAGACACCGAGGCAGAGTACCCCCTGGCTGGCAAAGGCGGTCCGGCTCCTGAGGGCTCTCCACGGAGAGGACCAGGCTGCCGGCCCAAGCGCCGGACATGGCCTCACTAGAAAGTGGCCAGGGCGGGATTAGAACTGGGAGCCTTCTGCCTCCAAAGGCCATTGTTGACTACCAACGAGCAGACGAGGGACGCTGCTGCCCGCGGTTATAATCCGCCCACAGCTACAGAGAAGGCCCCTGGTGATGAGGCCCCACCCCCAGCCATGCTGGCCCGACGCTGCTTTTCGAGCACATGAGGCCTTTTGCTTGGGCCCTGCTGGCTTCCTGCGCCTCCTTCAGGCCTCCCTCAAATGTCATGGGAAGCCTCGTTGAGAGGACACAGTAGAGCAAAAACTTGAAAGAACTAAGGAAGCAAATGGCAGGGATATGGAGGATGAGCATCCCAGGCAGAGGGCACAGTGGGGCAGCACCAGGCCTGGCGAGCTGGAGGAACCGCGAAGAGGCCCGTGTGTCTGGAGCAGAGTGAGCGAGGGGTAGAGAGGGAGGAGGGGAGGGCAGGGAGGGGACGGGGCAGGTCGTGCAGGGCCTTGTGGGCCGCAGGGAGGACTTGGGCAGACCCCTTTTCACCACTCACCCCATTCCTGCATTTAATCCTACACATCTCAGGACTCTTATTCATTTTCTGGGAACTGTATACTGATTGTATCTTTCCCATTTGCAAATTATTTACCAGTCTTTTTCTTATTGATCTGTGGGAGCTCTTTATATATTATGGAAGATTTTTTTTTTAAATCCATGATACAAGTAAGTTTAAGTAGCTTTTCCCCATCTTCTCTTAAGATGATTATCAATGCCAGGCAGGTGTTTTTGTTTTCATGTGGTCCCATTTATCAGCCTCTCTCTCTTTTTTTTTTTAGATAGTATCTTCTATTTATTTATTTATTTTTGGCTGTGTTGGGTCTTCGTTGCTATGTGCGGGCTTTCTCTAGTTGTAGCGAACGGGGGCTACTCTTCGTTGTGGTGCGCAGGTCCCAGGGAGGTGGGACCCTGGAGGGCTGTGGGCAGAGGAGGGGCGGGGCCTGAGTCAGCTTTTAGTGGGAGCCTTCTGGAGTGAGCGGGAGGGAGCACAGGAAGAGACAGGGGGCCAGGCCAGCCATGGATGATGGGGCTGAATTCACATGGATGAACCAGGTGGTGGCAGGGAGTGGGGGTCAGAGGGGAACACAGCTGACTATTCTGAGACATCACGGAAGCAGGAAGGACAGGAGGGAAACTGCTCAGAAACACCAGGCCACAGCTCAGGCCAAAGCCCACAGGCAGCTCGTGGACACCCACAGGGGCCCCGTGAATGTGCCCAAGAGCCCAGCTTTCCTGAGATCCTCCACAGAACCAGGCACTCCACAGAGTCCCCAAAAGCCAGCAGAGAACATCGGGCCTTCCCTGGTCCGGGGCTCGGGAGCCCAAGAGTTTAAAGTAACCGGATTCTAAAACACCACCGATACATTTCACCTCCCATCAGATTGGCCAAAATGGCCGAGGTCGATAACATCCGGAGCTGGCAATGCTGCGAGGAGATAGTCTCTCTTGGCTCCTGCCGGACCTTTCCAGAAAGCCAGCGGGCATCAATCTGGTTGCGCCTGACCCAGCCATTCCAAGGCGGGGACTCCAACCACTAGAACTGAAAGTACCACGGCTACAAGCCCACGTTCAAAGATGTTTACTGCAGCATCGCTTGTGACAGCAAAAGGCAGCTCCAGAAACCACTGGATCGTCCCTCAGCAGGAAGCTCATGCCTAAAGGGGGTGGGCTGTCACTAAAGTTCACCAAGCGCCCTCCACCTGCTGATGCACTAACTCAGGTAAAGCTGGCAGTGTGGCCCCATTTTACAGATGGGGACACTGAGGCTCAGAGAGATCAAGGCATTTGCCCTGTGAGGTCACAGAGAAAATGAGTGGAACCCAGGCAGGATAAGGGGTTTCCACCTTCTCAATCACAGCACCATATTCTCTCTCTCTGAAGAAAAGAATTGATACCAACGTGGGGAAAAAATGCCGTATTATGGATAAAAAGCAAGCAAGTTACAGAATGATGGGTGAAAGTGAAGTACGGCAGCCCTCACCCCAGGTGACTGTGTCTTCAGGGGACACTGGGCGATGTCCAGGGACACCTGTGGTTGTCAGGACTGGGGGGGCTCCTGGCATCAAGTGGCTGGGGGCAGGGATGCCGCTGGACCCCACAGTGCCCAGGACGGCACCCACAACAAAGAACTTTCCAGCCCCAAACTAGCGCAGAGGCATCGAGACTCTGGCATCGTACGAACCCCCTGGTGAGCAAACAGACCCATCTGTGTGTTTATGCATCTGTTCGAGCAGCAGGAAAGGCATGGACAGTTGTTCCCCAAACTTAAGATAAACGGGTTCGGCGGAGGACAGACAGCTATTAACCCTAAAGTGAGTGAAGTAAGTGATCAGCTGTGGGAACCGGATTTCTGCGGGTTTGGGGACAGGAGCAGGGACGGCCCCTTATGGGCCAGGTCCCTGTGCTCAGACCCAACCACAGCCGGGGCCTGGGACTTTATCTGCCCCCATCAGATCACCTAGCCCCTGATAAGACAAACATATGCTGTGTGGCTTTCCTGTGGGCACTGCATCCTAGTCTATTGTGTCTCTGCCCAGCACAGGGCAGAGGGCTGCTGGCGGAGGTCAGGGGGCTGACAAAGGACTTCAGCCGGGTCCCTCTGCCATGTCTGGGGCTGGCCAGGCAGGGCATCGCCGCCAGCAAAGAACGGGAGCCAGAGGGCCGGATTGTTGGAGCTGAACCAGGGTAACCCACCAAGCAGCTCCAGATGGCAGCAGGAAAGGAAGCGGTGGGAGTCCTCTGGAGCCCGGGGGAGCTCGCTCGCTCTGGCTCTTTCTCCAGACATTTCTCCCAACTCCCAGGCAGCACAGCATCTCCCTGCCTGCCAAGGAAGCTTCAGGAGGCCCGGGGGAGAAGGAGGATGGATGCCCCTGTGGGTGTCTACAGGGGACTCGCCAGAAAGGGCTGCCTGGAACAGAGAACTCTGCGGATCCAGAAACTTCCTATTTGGGAGCCTGCAACCTTGACCAAGAAGGAACCAGGCAGTGGCTGGGCTCTGCACACCGCCCCAGGGAAAGGCAGACCGCAGGCCCACAGGGCAGGGCGAGGCTGCCTCCTTCCCCAAACCTGCTCTGCTAGAGGGCCAGGGAGGCATGCCAAGGAGAGGGGCTCAAGAAAGCACTGCCCCTACAGAGCTACGGCAGCCGCCCAACATCCAGGGAAAAGGCTGCAGGGGGCCTTCTCCTCCCCCACCTGCTGGCAAGCCCTGGCACTGAAGGTGCCTGGAGATGTCATCCCCCTACCTACCTCCGGTTATAGGAGGTAAACTGAGACCCAGAAAGGGAAGGAATGGCCAGTGGACTAGAAACCAGGTCTGGTGAATTCCACAAAAATGAGGTAGTCAGGAGGCTGACCCATCTGGCCTCCGAGACCCCCCACTTCCGCCACAGCAGCCCCTGCCCTTAACGACCAGTAAGATGTGCCCACAGGGTGACGGCTTGCAGGGAAACGGGTGAGGCCCGGAAGCTGATACCAGCAAAGTGGGCGGCCCCGAGCAGTGGGTCCAGACGGTCGGGGCGGGGGGAAACATGTGGGACAGCGTCACCCCTTGGAGGCAAGGCCCCCCCATCGGAACGGGGGTACTCCACTATCCCACATGCAGAGCAGCCCCCTGACAACACTGGGTGGGACGTCGTTCCCAAGCGCCCTCAGCAGGAGGCAGTGCACCCACCTACCGCGCGTCCTAAATAGAGGTCGCACCCCTCCCAGAGGTGAGGACCCATCTTCCCCGCATGTCTCCAACGGGGTCTGCTCCACCCACAGCCTCCCAGAATGGGGCCCTGCGCCAACCCCCGCTCCCAGACAGCCGGCTCCCCCAAGAACCCCGGGAATGGGCGGCGCCACCCCGACCCCCAGGGCGGGGCGTCTCGGGCCCCGCGGCGCGTCTCCCAGCCCCGGAGTGGGGCGTTCCATCCCCCCCGCGAGCGCCCCCGAGTGGAACGTCCCGGCCTCCCCGCTGCGGGTCCCGACGCCCCTCCGGCGCTCGGACGGGTCCACTGGGCCCCGGCAGGGGGGTCAGGGCGGGTCCATTCGGGGAGCGGGGAGAGAAGGAGGAAGGTCCGGAACCGTTACCTGCTGCCGCACTGCTCTCTGCCGCCCAGGCTGCCTCTGAGGTCACGGCCCCCGCCTCGGCGCTCTCCGCCTCGTCCGGCACCTCCAGCTCCATGGCCGCGCGCTGACCTGCCGGCGGGCGGGCGGCCGGCCGGCCGGAGGCTGCGACCCGAGATGCTGCCGCCGCCGCCGCTGAACAACAACCGCCACCGGCTGGAGAGCTGAGGGAAGGGGCCGGACCCACGGAGTGAGGGGCGGGCCAGGGGCGGGGCCAGGCGGTGCGCCATCGCGCACCGCGCGCACCGCCAATCGGGGCTCGGAGGCGGGGCCTGCGTGCGTCCCGGGCCCCAGGAGCGGCGCGAGCGCCCTCACGTGCCCAGGGGTGGAAGGGCAGCGCCATTCCTGTCAATATTACTGTAGTACGTAAGAGCGTTATTATACATAACGAGCATAAATAATAATTACAGTTAAAAATTATCATCATATTAAAAATAAAATTTATATTACATATGCTTATGTTTGATATAAGTAATAGTTACGTAATAATAAGAAACAAATTTTTATCATTATGCACAATATACAAATTGTATGTGATATTGTCATGATACATTAACGTGACTATTAAACAAACAGTAATATGGTATTATAATAAGTAATGTTATATATAACGTAAAAATATTATTTATGATATATAACGTAGTAAAATTTAGTTATATGTAACAATAACATCCTTAAATGCCAAGCTTAGTGCTAAAGCCTTTATATGCAATATCTCCATAAGTTAGGGACCTGCTTTTCGTTTCCTTTTTTTTTAACTACTACCATATTCCCAATACCTAACACAGAACATTACACCTAGAAGACAATTTGATCAACCAGATGAGAACTATTATCATCCCCATTTTACACATGAGAAAACAGGAGCCCAGAGAGCTGAAGCCACGTATTTGGAATCACACAAAGGACCGTGTTGTGAAGCATCCCCTTTACTTATTGTATTAAGAATAATAATATTATTTAAGTCTAATGGTGAACTCACCAATGATATGGTTAGGCAGTCATTCATTCTGAGGTCATGGTTTGGGGAGTAATAAATGTTGCTATTAGTAGTTTTATTCATTATTAATGATTTCTGCTGGGAGGCAGGTGGGGGAGTCCAGATGCTCAGCTGGTGTGGGTGAAGCTGGGCTGTTTTCACCCAGGCCTGTCCGACTCCAGACACGTGATCCCTCTTCATTGTCAGGGTGCTGGTGGGGTCAGCGGGAGGCCGACAAGGTTGGGCTTAGGGGTGCTTGGTGATGGGATAAGGGGGAATCAGCAAGATGGAGCAGGCCTCGGTCCGACCCAGGGCTTAGAAAGATGCTCCTGAAATGTTCTCCATCAAAGCAAGGAGACAAATCAAGAAAAAGGAAGACACAGAGAACAGGACCCAGGATGAGGTGGAGGGATCCCCTAGGTTAGCTGTGTCCTGTTAGAATTGAGCCTACCCAAAGAGGAGGAGTCAAACAGCTCCAGGGAATCAACAGATGATGGATAAACACAATGTGGTCCATTCATACAATGGGATATGATCCCGCCTTAAAAAGAAGGGAATTCTGACACACGCTGCAACGTGTGTGAACCTGGAGGACGTGATGCTCAGTGAGAGAATCCAGACACAGAAGGACAAGTACTGTCTGATCCCACTCACATGAGATCCCTAGAGGACTCAAATCCATAGAGACAGGAAGTAGATGGTGGGGACCACGGGGTGGGGGAGGGGCTGGGGAGTCAGTGTTTCCTGGGGACGGAGCTTCAGTTTGGGAAGATGAGAAAGTTCTGGAGATGGGTGGAGAGGATGGATGCACGACAATGAGAATGTGCTTAATGCCACTGAGCTGTGCACTTAAATATGGTTAAGACGGTAAATTTTATGTTATGTGTATTTTGCCACCATTTTTTAAAAAGGCTCCAGAAGTTCTCTGGACACGCGCCATGGATAGAACTCCTGATTCATTTTGAATCTGTCTCCAGAGAAGATCTACATCAGTGATCCTCAAAGCGAGGTGCCTGGACTTGCCCCCATCAGCATCAACCAGGAGCTTGTTAGAAATGTATGTTCTCGGGCCCCAGCCCAGCCCTCCTGCATCAGAAACTCTGGGGGCGGGGACCCACAGCCTGTCTTTCAATGAGCCTCCCAAGGCAATTCGGATGCCTGATAGAGTTTGAGAACCACTGGCTCAGACAACTGGGAATGGAGAGGAGGGGCCGGGATCCCGTGGGGCAGCGGCTTTTGCTCCTCTTGCTTCATCCCCCCAAATGCCTGCTCGATATTCCCATTTTGCAGGATGGAAAACTGAGGCTGCCCAGCTGGGGCTGGTTGCCTGGTTTCGGGCGCCCCCTCGTGGCTATTGCTGTCAGCACTGGGTCCTGCAGGTAAGAGGGACTTTATGAGTCTTCCACCCCTCCCCATATTCCATTAATTCATTCCACAAATATTTATTGGGCACCTACTGTATACCAGGCACTGTTCTAGGCCAGGAGGATACACAAATAAGCAGGACCAAATCCCCGACCTCAGTGAAGAGACATCTAGGGAATTCCCTGGTGATCCCGTGGTTAGGACTCCACGTTCTCACTGGCGAGGGCCCGATCCCTGGTTGGGAACTAAAATCCCACAAGCTGGGCTTCCCTGGTGGCGCAGTGGTTGAGAGTCCGCCTGCCGATGCAAGGGACGCGGGTTCGTGCCGCGGTCTGGGAAGATCCCACATGCCGCGGAGCGGCTGGGCCCGTGAGCCATGGCCGCTGAGCCTGCGCATCCGGAGCCTGCGCATCCGGAGGCTGTGCTCCGCAACGGGAGAGGCCACAACAGTGAGAGGCCCGCCTACCGCAAAAAAAATAAATAAATAAAATAAAATAAAATCCCACAAGCTGCATGGCGCGGCCAAAAAAAAAGAGAGAGAGAGAGAGAGACATCTAGAAGACAAACAAACAAGCAAACAAGACACAAGGCGTTTCAGCTGCTAACAAATACTTTGAAACTAATACAGATGTGATACAATAGCAACAGAATGTGACTGCAAAAGGCTCCACAGCTAATACATATTAAGCTCCTATTCCAGTGTTTTCTGATACAACTACAAGGCAAGCCCATTTCAGTTTAACTTTTTAAATGTCATTTAAAATTTTCTAGCAACCACATCTGAAAAAATTAAAAAACCAAAAGCAGGCGAGATAACTTGTAACACTATATTTCATTGAACGCAATACATTCAAAACTATTATCATTTCTACAGGGAATCGATAGGTAAAACCAATGAGCTATTTTACATGCTTTTCTGCACAGCTGCTCTTCCAAATCCGATGTGTATTTTACCTGCATGTCATTCATTCAGACCAGCCACCTGTGGGTCGCAGCTGGAAGGTGCAACTCTACTGTGTGCCCAGCAGAGTTCTCAGCACTTTATGGACAGACATTCATTCACTTTACTGTAGGAAACAACCCTAGGAGCAGACACCAGTGTTGTTCCCATTTTTAAATTTTATTTTAGTTTTCATTTTATTATTATTATTATTTTCATATATTTTTTGGGCCACGCCGCAGGGCATGTGGAATCTTAGTTCCCCAACCAGGGATCGAACCTGTGACACCAATACTGGAAGCGAGGAGTCTTAACCACCGGACCGCCAGGGACGTCCCCGTTGTTCCCATTTTTTTAGGTAAGGAAACTGGGGGGCCGGTGACTTGCCCAAAGCTGCCCAGCTGGGAAGTGATAGAAAATTCTCAGTGTAGGAATCCGGCCGGTCACTTGGTGGCACAGAAGCAGAATTTGAGCTCAGATCTGTGGGGATGGAAGGAGCAGCCCTGCCACAAGCGGTGGGATGCTGTGCCAGCTGGAAGGCAAGGGGAGCAGTGAGGGGATGGGGGGGCAGGGATGCGCCATTCATTCATTCATCCTTGAATTTTTCCACAAATGTCTCCCAAGGACCTGCCACATGAGCCAGTCCCTTGCTGATGCCAAGGGCTCAGCGGTGGCCAGTGCAAGCAGGGCGGGACTGGGCGTCCCTGGCCTCTGGGCCAGCAGGGGTTAAGGTCAGCTGCTCCCACGTGAGAGCACCTTGCAACAGAGCCACACACCCAACCAGGTCTCTCTCACTCTCGCTGGTTTGCCTGTGCCTGTCGCCCTGCTGGTTCCACCTGGCACGGGACCGGCTAGCCTGTGGCCACCACAGGGAGGCAAAGTTGGGCAAACAGGTGGGGAGACCAGAGCTCAAGCCTCGGGTCCCCTCCCCACCCCTGATGCCAGGCGGAAGCCCAGGCCCTAGCTCCTGTTGCCTGCCCAGAGGCCACCCAGCCTCCTAGACAGGTGAGTCCCCCACCCCGATCTGCCCACCATCCCGAAGCAACTGTCCAGACTGGGTTCCCCACTGTGGGGTCCTGGGCCCCCTGTCACCTCCCCCCACCACCAGGCTCCCCGGAAAGCAGGAAACTGACACTGCTGTGTGGGCATTTGACATAGTTTCTAAGGGATTATCTGGCCAGCAGTTACTGCCCCTGGCAGCCTGCCCAGGATGCCATAGTCACAGACTTCAGAGGGTCATTGTTGGCCCCGGCTGTTGCAGGGGGGCTTAGGGGGCACAGACTGGCCTCTGATCCCCCAAACTGAGGACGGGAGGCTGGCGGGGAGATGGCAGGTGAGGCAGCCTGGCACCTGCTTGGTATCTGGGCCTCCTGGTACTTCTTAAGAGGCCCCCAAGTTTTCAGACAATTGCATCTCATCTCTGTCCCCTCTCCAGGTGCTGGAGCGGGAGGAACGGGGGGTTCTGGGGAGGCTTATCTTGCTTATCTTGATTTCTTCTCTGGGTGAAATCTCCCAGCGGAGAAGTGCAGGAAGGGGCGGATGGATGGTTGTCACAACAGTCTGCAGAGCTGACTGTGGGCAAGGAGCCAGAATGGTCTCCGGGCAAAGGAAGCTTAGACCCAGGAGAAGACAGGGATCCAGTGGCAAGAGCTTTTTCTGGGTCATTTGCTCCCAAAAAGTGCAGGACAAAGAGAACTTCCCAGCCAGCCAAGTGTCTGATTGCACCTCAAGGCCTCAAGGCTCTTTGTCTGGGCCCAAGAGGGCCCTCTGGGGCTCCGGAGGCATGAGCGTCCCAGTTGCAGGGTATAGAGCCGGCCTGGCATTTGGGGTCACTCCCGGGAAGCAGAGCTGCTTAAGA